GCAACACATCAGCCACTTGCATCAAGCATGCAATCAGAGAACAGTCGGACTACGGAGGAGAATAGAAGAGGAAGAACTTTGCAGATTCCGGACTCCACATTTTACACCCCACCGAGTCCGCCGTGACCCCGCAGTCCCGCTCTCTCTTCCGTACAGCCGTCCGAAAGCTTGGATTACACTGATCTGGAGCCAAGAGGACCCCTGATGAGGGTCCATTGCAAGAGAATACCAGTGCCAATGGAAAAACCTAGTCTTTGAGCGCTGAATCGTTTATCGTTCTGACTGAGCATGTAAAGGGAATGAAGTTGTCCCTTGCATAAGCTGGAGTCTGGACAAGCGAAGTGACAGGGAATCGATACGGTGATTATGCTAGTCACTGCAGCCATGCCACTGCATCATCGTCATTGATGCGAGACAAATTGCAAGACTCGGGGCATCGCATGATTCTCCGGCGTGTCTCCGATATGAGGAAAAATTGCAGGCCGTTGGCCCCGCGTTATCGCAAACTAGTTTGTTGACTTTAATGTGGAGGATCGTCGGCCCAGTTTCCTCTCTGAATCAAGTGCAAGGACATCCCCTGCGACTACTCTCCTCCACAATGATGGCAGCTCATCTAGTGCCTCTCTGAATCCCTGCATCTCGACCTTCCCAATTCGACTCGTCTCCGCCTTGGTCTTTGTTAGCACGAATGATGCGTGTGCACACACCGAGGTCCCCCGTGGCAGATCTGTTCTGATCTCTTTCCAAGGGCCCACATCGCCTCTGTACCTGTTTGTTGTTGTGCCTGATGAGCAATGACGATAGCACGGTGCAAATGGAAGACTCGTGGATTGCTAGGATCGACATTTTTGTCATTTTACTTCTCGGAGGATTATGTGGGGTGTCAATTCCGTCATATATTAAGCCGAAGGTCCTCCCCCTCCCCTCCCTGCAGTCAAGCTCCCGATTCTCAGAAGACCTTGCCTTCCCTCCCTTGTAAGCTTCATTCTTCTGGATTTCCCTTGAAGAAACACCATGAAGCTTCTCTCTGTCTGCGCGGTTGCCTTGCTGGCAGCCCAGGCAGCGGGTGCTTCCATCAAGCACAAGCTCAATGGCTTAACTATTACGGAGCATTCGGATCCTGCGAAGCGGGAATTGTTACAGAAATACGTATGTGAGACCGGAAACTCGAACTTGATCAATGCGTACTCAGACATGACCCTAGGTCACCTGGGATGAGAAGTCACTGTTTGTCAATGGCGAGAGAATCATGATTTTCAGCGGTGAAGTTCACCCTTTCAGGTGCGTACCATCCGGCGATCTACTCTAGATTGCTACGGAACGGAGGTTCTTACATTGTGTAGACTGCCAGTTCCTTCGCTGTGGCTCGATGTCTTCCAGAAAATCAAGGCCCTGGGGTTCAATTGCGTTTCATTCTACGTCGACTGGGCCCTGCTCGAAGGAAAACCCGGCGAGTACAGGGCTGAAGGCAACTTTGCCCTTGAGCCGTTCTTTGACGCGGCTAAGCAGGCAGGAATTTATCTCCTCGCCCGTCCTGGTCCTTACATCAATGCCGAGGCTTCGGGCGGTGGTTTCCCTGGGTGGTTGCAGAGAGTGAACGGAACCCTGCGAACGGCCGATCCCGCGTACCTAAAGGCTACTGATAAGTACGTGACGTGATCGTTTATAGTGTCAAAAGGTGCTAACTCTAGATTAGCTACATGGCCCATGTTTCTGCTACTATTGCCAAAGGTCAAATCACAAACGGAGGCCCGGTCATCCTGTATCAACCAGAGAATGAGTACAGCGGTGCGTGCTGTGGTGCTACTTTCCCCGATGGTGACTACATGCAGTATGTCATCAATCAGGCTCGTAACGCCGGTATTGTCGTACCATTGATCAACAACGATGCCTGGGCTGGAGGACACAATGCCCCTGGGACGGGCAAGGGAGAGGTTAACATCTATGGTCACGACAGCTATCCGTGAGTCCAAGTTCCATGTTCTTCTGGAAAGATAATTCTAACTTATGTGGATCAGGCTAGGGTTTGACTGTGTAAGATCGAGTTTTCCACTTGAAGCATTGAGTCATTCTAATGAAACTAGGGACACCCAAGCGTTTGGCCCAAGGGCAACTTGCCGACCAATTTCCGGACGGATCACTTGAGAGAGAGCCCGACAACCCCGTACTCTCTTGTTGAGGTGTGTGATCTCATGCCTTTCAAGTCATACCTTGCTAAAAATCACAAAGTTCCAAGGAGGTTCCTTCGATCCATGGGGCGGACCCGGCTTTGAAGCATGCGCCGCCCTCGTCAATCATGAGTTCGAGAGAGTCTTCTACAAGAATGACTTCAGCTTTGGAGCTGCTCTCCTCAACTTGTACATGGTATGGAAAGTTCCCGCCTGAACCCGACCAAGTGCTGACACACTTAGACCTTTGGTGGCACGAACTGGGGTAACCTTGGCCATCCCGGCGGATACACATCCTACGATTACGGATCGCCGCTGACGGAATCTCGCAACGTCACTCGAGAGAAGTACAGTGAGCTCAAGTTAATCGGTAACTTCGTGAAAGCGTCGCCATCTTACCTTCTGGCTACACCTGGCAGTTTGACTACCTCCGGATATGCCGACACCGCGGATTTGACCGTAACTCCTTTGCTTGGCAATGGCACCGGATCGTACTTTGTTGTCAGACATACGGATTACACCAGCCAGGCATCCACCCCATACAAGCTCAGCCTCCCAACCAGTGCTGGAAAACTCACGGTTCCCCAGCTCGGCGGTACCCTGACGCTCAATGGACGTGATTCCAAGATTCATGTTGTAGACTACAAAGTCGCGGGGACTAATATCATCTACTCGACTGCCGAAGTCTTCACCTGGAAGAAGTTTGGGGACAGCAAAGTTCTCGTCTTGTACGGTGGGCCTGGTGAGCACCACGAGCTGGCCGTTTCACTCAAGTCCGACATCCAGGTCGTCGAAGGATCTAATTCAGGAGTCACCTCGAAGAAGGTTGGGGATGCTATTGTGGTCGCCTGGGATGTGTCTTCTTCCCGGCGTATTGTTCAGATTGGCGACCTCAAGATCTTCCTGCTGGGTAAGTATTCTGCCTGTGATTCTTACCACTCAAAGCTGATTCCGAGCAGATAGGAACTCTGCTTACAATTACTGGGTGCCGCAACTTGACAAGGACGGCTCGTCAACGGGCTACAGTTCCGAAGAGACTACTGCTTCGTCCATTATTGTCAAGGCTGGTTACCTTGTGCGAACTGCTTATACCAAGGGCTCCGGCCTCTATCTTACCGCGGATTTCAATGCAACAACCCCTGTTGAAGTGATTGGAGCCCCATCCAGTGTTCGAAACTTGTACATCAATGGCCAGAAGACCCAGTTCAAGACTGATAAGAACGGTATCTGGTCCACCGAGGTCAAATACAGTGCTCCTAAGATCAAGATTCCCAGCATGAAGAATCTAAATTGGAAGTATCTCGATACTCTGCCGGAGGTACAGTCGACTTATGATGATTCTGCGTGGCCGGCTGCCAACCTGGATACCACACCTAACACCCTGCGACCCTTGACCACGCCAAAGTCTCTTTATTCGTCCGACTATGGCTTCCATACCGGTTACTTGATCTACCGGGGCCATTTCGTTGCCGACGGCAGCGAGACTACCTTTGACGTTCGCACGCAAGGTGGCTCGGCCTTTGGCAGTTCCGTGTGGTTGAACGGAACATTCCTAGGCTCATGGACTGGTCTCAACGCGAATGCAGACTACAATTCGACCTACAAACTGCCACAGGTCGAGAAAGGCAAGAACTATGTCCTCACTGTTGTCATCGACACGATGGGTCTCGACGAGAACTGGGTTGTGGGCACAGACGGCGCGAAGGGCCCCCGGGGTATTCTGTCCTACAAGCTCTCTGGCCGCGACGCCTCCGCGATCACCTGGAAATTGACCGGAAACCTCGGCGGAGAGGATTACCAGGACAAGATCCGCGGTCCTCTGAACGAAGGTGGATTGTATGCCGAACGGCAGGGCTTCCACCAGCCCCAGCCGCCCAGCAAGAACTGGAAGTCAGCTAGTCCGCTCGACGGGCTGTCCAAGCCTGGCATTGGCTTCTACAGCGCTCAGTTTGATCTGGATATCCCAAGCGGGTGGGACGTGCCGCTCTACTTCAACTTTGGCAACGGCACGAAGTCAGCTTACCGGGTGCAGCTGTATGTCAACGGGTACCAGTACGGCAAGTTAGTTAGCAACATCGGCCCTCAGACAAGCTTCCCCGTCCCGCAGGGTATTCTGAACTACCAGGGAACCAACTGGGTTGCGTTGACTCTATGGGCACTCGAGTCGGATGGTGCCAAGTTGGGTGACTTTGAGCTGGTGAACACCACACCGGTGATGACTGCGCTATCGAAGATCCGGTCCTCAGAGCAGCCAGTGTACCGTCAACGGAAGGGAGCTTATTGATAGATAGTCGTCAGTGCACCTGTACGTCAGGCACGATAGTCGAGTACAACAATCAACACTGCTGTACATTCGCCTTTTTTAAATTCAAGTAATTTATTCTATCAGATATCAATAGTCTGGGACGTAGTACTCGGAAGTGAAGTTTGTTACTACATAGCTGGCCAACAGGAAAATTGTACCCGTAAAAAGGTACGGATACTCCCGAGGTGCCCACCCCCAGCCACCGCATAATCGGGGCTCCGTCCGCTGTACCACGTACATCATGCATTTTCACCGACACCGCAGCATTTTCCCTCCTCCTCTCTCAATGTCACTATTATTACAAAGTGCCGCATACTCCAAGGGAGGATCTCGATCGCACTCGCGCATCCGCGGTTAATCCCACCACATGTCGCTCGTTGCACTTGCACCATCACCATCACCATACGGATACCACCCAAACAACTAACCACCATTACCATCTACCGCGGAGCACACAACTACAACAACACAACCCCTCCAGTCACCCCAAATCCATTTTATAAAGGGGCAAAAAAGGGGGATAAAAAATGAGCCCCCTCCGCCGGTACACAACAGTCTCCATCCCAGCGTCCTACGGCCGGCTGGACGACGGTCCCTCCCCAGGTACCGTAGCGGGCATCGTCCTAGGCAGCGTCGCAGGCTTCGTCTTCCTCCTGTACCTAGCCTACCTTGGCCTCGGACTCAATAACAAACCACACCCCGACGACGTAGAAGTTAGCACCGTGTCGATGGAGTCCGCGCTATCGAGGCGGGCGCGACGAGCGCGCCGCGGCGGCGACGGAGGACGAGTCGAGGTGGTCGAGGAGCGGCGCAGGCGGCATCCCGACGATCATATTGTGGTGGAGGAGTCGGTGACGTCTGCGTCGAGGACGGATGAGGGAGATGTGGTGGAGGTTTTGGAGGAGCATTCGTCGATTGATGTGCCGGTGGCGCCGGCGCGGTCCAGGTCGAGGAGGAGTCGGGTGTCGGGGTCTTATCGGACGGTGGATCCGTACGAGTATGGGGGTGGGAGTTCGTATGATGGGCGGTGAGGAGATATTTAGAGGTGGATTGCATTATTTGTGATGTTGTTTTGGATACCCTTGATTTGATGCTATCATGTTACGATAATGACCTTTATGCTGTGCAGCTGGATAATGAGTTACGAAGCCATGTCATGCTCTGATGTATTTGAAATGGACACTTCTCTCGAAGATCACGATCAGGTTGGTCCGTGAGATGTAAATTAATCCTTAACAATAGTAAACGAAAAGTAATATTAACAAGAATGATACCGACTCCTCGCCCCTAGGCAACCAAGAAATGGGAAACGATGAGGGAATGAACGACGGAGAATCCACACAAAGGAGATATGACGAGTCCCGACCTGATAATGCTCCGTATCCGTTCCAGCGCCGTAGCAGAATAGTCAGAAAATGAGAGACAAAAAGGCATTCGAGCAGAAACAGAATGTTTTGGGCACTTTGCTCTCAATTTATAAGGCACAAGCGCCTTTCTTTCAATACTGCTTAGAACAGAATATCCAAGCAGCAACAGCATGCAAGAGCGGCCATTATACCGGCACAAATACCACCGCCTGAGGACCCTCCCCGGTCATCCGCATAGTAACCTTGCTGCTGTTGCGGGTATCCTTGCGGAGGATAGTACATAGGTTGACCCTGGGGAGGGGGCGAGCCGTAACCTTGCTGGGGAGGGGGTGAGCCGTAACCTTGCTGGGGAGGGGGGCCGTAGTTCTGGGGAGGGTAGTAGCCGCCTTGGTTGTAGCCGCCTTGGTTATAGTAGTCTTGGTTTGCGCCACCGGGAGGAGGAGGTGAGCCAGGGTGGCCGTATGGGCCAGCATCATGAACGGGCGCAGGATATGAAGGAGGAGGGCCGTCCTAGAGATTGAACGTTAGATGTCAGCCCATGCTAAGTCGCGAAGAAATGAAGTCAGTATGAGAGATATAGGGAACTAACCGGCTTGTTGTATGACATCTTGATGCTTGCGTAAAAGTGACGAGGTTCTCAATAGAGGTGAATTCTCAAAATGCACAGCTAATAGAGGCTGAAATTGATCACTAGTTCGAATAGACCTCACAGGTGTCGAGTCACGATGTAGTAGCTCTTTGAGCGGTTGGAAGATTGCCAACGGCTGTCAGCTGATTGCAAGAGAACGGATAAGGAGATATTTCGTTGCGTTGATGTGGAGCGTCGCGCTGACGATGCGAAATATGGTAAAAGAAGAAATTGAAAAGGAGGGGCAAAGGAAAGGAATTGTCAAGAATAGTCAGTCAGTCAGATGGAAGTTACAAGTGCTCCAAGAAAGAGGCGCCCCCAACAACTTGGCAGATGGCACGGGATCTCCGGATTCGGCAGGTCTGTGGCTGTACCGATGAGTATTTGTACAGAAGGTCCCTTATCATGTCTTTAGACAACGAGAGAATATAAACTACACTGGCAGAGAGGAGCCATCCTTGTTTTATATTTCCAGAAGGACTATGACCACCACAAAACTGTGTCTCAATCTCTGGTTTGATGGAGACGGAGCCATTCCAAGGTCGTAGGCATCCATGTAAAGTCAACTCCGGCACCGCCACCTTTAATTCGTAATGCATTCATCCACCACTCCTCGTGCGGCTGTCGGCAAGTTGTTTGTATAGAGGTAGCAACCAAATAAGCCGCCACGCACTGATCCTCATATTTGAATTAAACAGTCTTAGATGTTGCCAAGCAGCGTATGTGAATGATCTCCAACCATACTGAGTCTAATGATCTGAATATCAACGGGCTCTGACGCCGGTACCACAATCAATGGTCGCCCATTGTTGTCACTGGAATTAAAATTTTGGGTCCTATCCAACAGGGCACTGTTACTTTGGTAGATAGGTGGTCTTCCTGGGTTCCCCAGTCCCACCCGTTGATTTTTGTCTCTCTCAATTGGGCTCTTAATGAACTGCCAACCTGTATATCTTCAGGTAACTTATGGTCTATGAATAAGGACCAGGTCTCTCCAGTTGCAAAATCCTTATGGTCGCCGGGCGAGATCTGCATATCAGGATCATCCCATATTCCCCATTCACAGCCGTCAACTGTATACTCTGCCCAACGACCACACCACTAATATATGGTAGGATAGTTCAGAAGTTGATTATTAAAAAGTGATCGGTCTGGTCTCGCTAGAAGGACCAAGATGGTAGGTAATATGAATTCATGTTCTCACCTCCCATTTCTGTAAGGGAACGACTGATGCACATTCAATCTTTGTGATTAAAATTGAGGTGGCTTCTTCTCTTGAACCCATGTTAGCGGATAGTCAACATGGCAAGCACAGTAATCCTTACGCGCGAGATACTACCTCTGCCGGCCACATAATGGGAGTATGCAATGGCTTGCCTCCTTCTTCTACGGTAGCATAGGACTGCCTGGCAAGACGAGGCTGGAGTCTCGGGTTGGTATATAGCAGTTCTTCCCCTTCGAATTTGAAGAGTTTGACTCAATCAAGCATCTCCTACTACCTACCTACAGGCAAAAAATGCGTCAAAAACATACAACAGCCGGGATTCGCTGGTGGTCACCCACCCAACTACTAACCGGCCGGCGTGTGGCTTAAGTACGGCTGAGCGGACGGGAAGCCCTGTTTTCCACACCCTATGGTCGTATGTACTAGGATTCAAAGAGTGAGGAATGATATCTAATCATAATCAATAGCACATCTCTACAATAGTAGTTGTCATCTGGATGGGAGTAGATTCTTAGAAACAGTTCTTAGCTACTCCCTACTCCCGTGCGGCGTATCTTTCACTGGGCTAGAATAATATGTATCACTCTCCAACCGTCAGGCAAGAGAAGAAGCAGATTGGCAATACATCCACCCTCACTGGGGGCTGCCCAGAATATATTTAATAAAATATGATTCTTCAGTAACATATAGCGAAAGAGGAGGCCGTGTGCTTTGGGGAAGCTTAATCTGGCTCAAGCCTTCGGGGGCATGATGACGAAGAATGAAGCTGGAGGCAACAATTCCATAGATATGCAGAGCCCATGCGAATAGGCATAGGCTGTTTCTATCATCAATGCGGTGTAAGATGGCTTAAATAGATATGGGGTACTCCGCCTCAGCTTCTCAGGGCCTTCTAGCTCATGGGAGGTTGCTGGCATACCCAGGCTACAGGAAGTCAACCCGCCGCTGCTCTGGTCAAGTTTAGGGCTAAGAGCTCACAAGCGGTCTTTCTGTGTCCATCGCAAATACGGAGCCAAAAACTCGGCCATTACGGATTGTTGCTCTGCTTTGTTGGGCAGCAGCAGCAGCAGTTCTGTTGTAGGGTGGTATTAAGTCTAGGCACCCGTCATGGGAAATGAGACCAATAGAGGACACTGTCGAAGCGGCCCCATCTTGTAGCCGTATAGTCCGAAAAAGGCTAGTGGACAACCTGATGGAGACCCTTTCTTGATCGCTCAGCAGAAGAAAACGGTCCAGGCGGCGCGATCTCCAATCGGCAGACTTCCCTACAATGAGCTTAGCTTTGATTATTAGCCCTGGGTACAACTAGCGCTAGACTGGCTGACTCAATCCGCAAATCCATACCCAGGTGATTGCCGGTTGGTGGCATTTTATCGGGTTTGTGGCTGTTGATGATGCCATCTTTGCTCTCGGGCAGGGGATCTTGCTGTGGTTGGTTCTGAGGCGGGAAAAGCGTCTTGCGGCATCTGATCCAGAGAGGCGGCCGTTGTTGGGGAGCGAGTAGGCCAGACTTGCTTAGGATTCCATGATAGGTTGGTTTTGAGGCAAATTTTCAGCTGGGAAGTATATAAACATACATGAGGACTGAACGAACACACAAATACAAGAGACAATAATATGCAATTGGTTCAATTTCTATATAGAGTTGTGGTTGAAGTTATAGTTAACGGTCAGCATGCTGTAGAATAGGCCTATCGCAATTTGACGTACTGCGGTGGACTACGTTCAGATTATCTACGTGATAACACCTCGGTCGCGCCCATTTATCAACGCGTCTTCCTCTCCAAGCTGGGTGTTGTCACAATATGTCGTGCTCATTCCGAATTTCTCTTGATCGCCCCTATAAGTCACTGCTATCGGTCTTTGTATTTTGGAAAACTCTTCTACTTCTCCTGGCTGTCTTCAGTCCTGGCCCTGGCTACGACACTTCCACCACGCTTCGGCTGAACCGTAATGCAGCCAATGCAGACCCTGATGGACCATTGATAGCGAGCTTGCGTCTGGTTTCCACCAAGCTGACCAGATGGGACGCTATATATTTCACCGAGGTCGCAAGCCGCGGCTATATTTTCGAGCAGGAATGGGCATTCGGTTATGGCTTCACTAAGCTCATCAATTTCTTTGCCAATGGTGAGGGCCTTTGAAATTGCTGCACAGTGGCCAACTAAAGATTATCTAGCTCTCCAACAGACAGGCGTTGTGGACTGCGAATTTAGGGAGCATATCGCTGGTATTATCATAGCTCATGCAGCTCATGGCCTGTCCGTGCTAGTTCTCTATTGTCTAGGATGTGCCATATTTTCCGGAAGGCAGGGTCGCATGCTCGCATTCATCGCAGCGTGTTTACATATATTCTCACCTGCTGGACTATTTCTTTCAGCTCCGTGCGGGGAGAGTACTTATGCTTTCCTGACCTTCACAGGCTACTTTCTCTTCGTTCAGAGCTTCAATCTATCAGTGGCTTCCACGGGTCTTGAAGACGCTTTCATACTGCTAGCTGGTATCCTGTACGGATTAGCCACGACTGTTCGCAGCAATGGGATTCTCAACGGCCTGCTGTTCGTTGAGGAAGCAATCAGACTGTTGTATTCCATGACCAGGGGCGTCACCTTTGCAAAATCTCGCCGGCTACTCGCCGTTGGCATAGCTGGTGTCTGCACGGGTCTTGGTTTTGTGGTGCCGCAATACATCGCTTACCGGGATTTCTGCGTCAATTACCCATATACGCACGATGAAGAGCCAAGGATATGGTGTCGTAGGACTCTGCCAAGTATCTACAGCTTCGTCCAGGACCATTATTGGTACGTATCTAGTTAATATTCGTTACGCCGCTAACTATTGCCATAGGAACAATGGGTTTCTTCGGTATTGGACTGTTTCCAATATCCCCCTGTTCGCCTTGGCCAGTCCAATGCTAGCGATCATGACGTATTCTGCCCTTTGGACTCTTAACGTCGAGTCAGGCAGACTGGCAGGAGCAGGCCGCGTGTTGCGTAGCCTGGCGGCTCCCCAGCTCATCCTGGCCATCCTGACATTCGCAAAACACCATGTTCAGATCATTACGCGCATGGCTTCGGGTTATCCCGTGTGGTATTTCTGGATCGCAGATCTTCTCACAAAGGAGTATTCCTCAGTCCGCCTGGATAAGAAAGAGGTTGGGAGTCAGAAGCAGCGTTCGTATGCAAGCCTGGCAATCACATATATGATTTCCTATGCTGCTGTTCAGGGTGTCCTTTTTGCTTCTTTCTTACCGCCGGCATGACTGCTCATAACGGGAACAATAAAGCTGGACTACCTCCTCATCACCCTGTCTATAATATATAACTATTAAGTTTTATAGCATATGCAAGGGAGGAGAAACCACTCGAAATAGTTGAAATTACAATAAGGACAAGAAAACCCGTTTTCCGATGGCGCTCTCTACACCATATATTACTTAGACACAATTAGTCAAGTGACGCTACGCACCTCGAAGCAGGTACCCGACATGACGATCTGCAGTCTTAGACATAATTAGACAGGTATATAACAGCTAGACTACACCCAGTCACCCTGCCTTGCCTCTTAATCCCTCTCCCCATCCCCAATGATGCCTCCAAAATGGTGGCTCAACTCTTCCCACCCCGCCATGTCTACTTCCCCTCCACCCCCTCCCACACCTCCACCGTCATCCTCCTGCACGACACCAACAGCACAGGCGCCGAGGTAGCCGCCGCGCTGGCCGCCTCAACAACAGCGACAGCTACAGCTGAAAAATCTATCTTCGAGCATTTCCCCTCCTGCCGCTGGGTGTTTCCCTCTGCTCAGCCCCGCCAGATAGATACCTGCTATGCAAGCAGGGGGAACTGGATCAACGTCGACGTCGACATTGAGGCAACCACAAGCTCAGACGCAGATACAAACGAAGACGCAGACACAGACGCAAATGCAGACGCAAACGTAGATTCCCCTCAACAACGACAAGCACAGCTCAGCTCTTCCGCAGAAGCCAAAGACGACGACGAAAACAAAGCCGAAGCCCTAGAGGCCTGCGTAGAATACATGCTGCAAATAATAGAGGAGGAAGTCGGCCGGCTGGGCGGGGACAGTCGCCGCGTGGTGCTGGGTGGGTTCGGGCAGGGGATGGCCGTTGCGATTGCTACATTACTCGCTGCGCGGAGACGATTAGGTGGGTTCGTGGGTGTGAACGGGTGGGTTCCTTTCACGGAGATGATCGAGGGATTAGGTGGCCGGGGCCGGGGCTGGCTTGCTGAAGATGAGGCGAGGATGGGAGGGTCAGAGGGCTCGTCAGGAGTGGACGGGGTTGAAGTGGATTCTGAGGCTGGGAAGGCATTGCTGGAGACTCCGGTTCTTCTGAGCTACCTTGAGGATGACCCATACGTGGATACTCGGACGGGGTTGACGGCCTACGAGACATTAAATCGCTTGGGGTTTGTCAAGGTGGTTTGGGATCCTCGTCCTGGTCCACAGCAAGGCGAGAATTGGCTCTTAGATGCGAGCCAGTTAGATACAATTGTGGGTTTCCTGGCAGAGGTGTTCGGTGGTGAGGAACAACATCTCTGCTCATGATGTTACAATGTTACGATAATATACTTGAAGCACCAGGCAGGCAATGCATCTCCTAAATAGTATTTCCAGTCGCTCATGTCGTTACTTACAGGCTGAAATGAACTCGCTAAACCAATCTTTTTGCCTTTTCTGCAAACACTTTTGAAGACCACATGCATCGGAGAGGAGACAAGGGGCTGCATGCGACGGCACACCTCGGGACAGGCAGCAGAACGGAAATGAAACCTGAAATTACACGAGAGAATATAAGTCACGAGGGGAAATGTCCAACCGCCTCCAGAAGAAGGCTGTAGCGCAAAGATATATAAAGACAAAACAAGAAAAGGAAATTCGGTGTCAGCCAATGACCACTGACATCTTTAGGTGGGAAAGGAGAAATGAGCTCAGAAAAGGGCTCAGTTTAGCAAATGCTTGGGAGAAAATCGCAGAAAATGAGAATGCAAGCTTCGGGGAAGCTCTTGCAGATCTAGAATGCCAAAAAGCACCCGCTGATGCAATGGAATGTGCATGCGATGGGCATAGACCGAGTCTATATCGTTCGTGTTTCTCTTCATGCCGTGTCCTCAATCGAAGCCTTCTGGAGCTCCTCGGAGACATCCGCGGTGGCATCGTTCTCCTGCTTCAGCTCAGCTTCGGCGGAGACTTTACCATTGACACCGCTGTTCTCAATAGCGACCTTCTTGGCATGGTCGGTAGCACGCTGGCTGTCAGAGTTCGCCTCTTCCTCCTCCAGACGCTTGATCTCCTCCTGAGCCTTCTTGATGTTCTACACAAATCAGTCAGCACATCGACGTCGCCTGTAAATATCTGCATTAACTCTTGTTAACTCACCTCCTCAGTCTTAGCGGCCTGGTTCTTCTTCCACTCGGTGATCTTGGCGGCAAGCTTCTCGACAATAGCAGGAACATCGGACTGATTCATAGGAGGGTCGATCTTGACCTTGGCAAAGTCCTCGATGACACCGACGTTGAGGTTGAATTTGGTGGGCTCGGCAGGAGTTCCGGGGGCAGGGCTGCCATTGGCGGTGCCCTTCTTACCCTTCTTGCCCTTCTTGCCGCCGGTGCCGACGAAGTAGTCTTCCTCGCGGTCCTCCTTCTTCAGGACCTTCATGCCCTTGAGGTTGGAGTCGTCAACGGTACGGCCGACTTGAGCACGGAAAGCGGAAGACTGATCCTTCTTGTCATCGAGACCAAGGGTGGAGAAGTCGTAGGACGGGTTGAAGTGGCGGATAAGACCTTGCGCGATGAGAATCTCGTCGGTGTAAGCGGGACGGGAAGCCTCTTCAAGCTTCTTGTCAGCGATCTTCTTCTTCTTTTCGCGCTCAAAGGCATCGCGCTGGGCCTTTTGCTTCTCCCGGCGGATCCTCCAGGCCTCGTCCTCATACTCCTTGTACGCCTTGCGGGCCTTGTAGTAGTTGTCCTTGATCTCACGGATGGCAGTCCATTTCTTCTGCTGCTCAGCGTGCAGCTTAGTACGCTCATCTCTCAGGGCGTTCAGGTTCTTGAAGGCACTGTCCTGCTCAGCCTTGATAGCATCGAGCTCCTTCTGGATCTCGGTGTACTTGTCGCTCAGAGCCTTGGCTTCGGGGTTGTCGAGAGTCTTCTTGAGGGTAGCAATCTGCGCCTTCAGGTCGTTGATGACCTTCTGCGCCTCGTCCAAGCCGGCAAAGTTCTTGCGCTGCTTACGAAGAGTCGAAATGTCGGAGAGAGCCTTGCGCTCGTCCACCAAGCGGAGAGTACCAGAGTCGACTTGCTTCTCGAGACGGGCGATTTCACGGTCAATATCCTCGACATTCTTGAATGGCATGCGAGTGCGGGAGTTGTTCTGTTCGGTAATACGGGCCTTGAGGGTCGACTCCAGAGCATTGATCTTCTCCTGGGTGCTCGTTCTTGAGGCCTTGAATCCCTGCTGCTTTTGACGAATGGAGGAGAGCTCAGCACGAAGTTCCTGTTGTCTCTTGGCTGCCGGCGAGTCCTGGTTGTTAGGCTTGGCGCTCTCGATCTTGGCCTTGATTTGGTTCTGCGTATAGTCAGTACCTTTATGAATGCTATACAATTATGCAACTGGTCGTATACGCATATCATCAAAGCAGAAGCGGAAATTATACAAGTGTGAGGGTCGTTTTCCACAGAAGGAGGGGTAGAGGTATGGAAGAAACAAAAAGAGGCGCATTGTGCGGAGCATCACACAGAACAAAGTAATAGGACAATGGACATTATCAATTGACGAAGACCTCACATACCAATTTCTCCTGGACAGCAGCATGCTCTTTTTCAGCCTGAGCGAGATCGGCCTTGAAAGCCTCCTCGTTGGGCTTGGTTGGCCTGGCTTTCTGCTCCGTGGCAGGAGCGGCATTGGCGGCGGCAGCCATGACTTTTGAGAATTAAGAAGAAGGGGTGGATTAAGGGGGAAGAGATGAGTGAGGAGAAACTCAAAAGTGAGCCGAGATTGATCGTGTGGATCAATCGCAGAGATGCAGCTCAAGGGGAGTGGGAAGAAAGGAGGGTGATAACACGAGAGAGTGATACACAAAAATAATTGATAATTGCCAGGTAGGCGGAAAGTTGGGGAAGGGGACCGAGAACTCGTGCCTCTCTTCTTTCCCTGGCTCACACTCTTTTTTTCCCCTAGCTCTTCTATGGTAAGCCTGGCCTTTACTGGCGTCTGAGTCTCTTCTGGTTGGCGGCGCTTACCATTGGCGCTCTTAGCGCAGGTCCGCCCGATTTTTCGAGAACTTCGATCACCACCAGCATCCAAGTTCTACTTATCAACCGATTTTCCTCCATACAATCCCCGTCTGCGCCTAACAAATTTCTCGGCGCTCTCACCGAGATAGCATTTCCTTTTCTTGTCACACTTTCCTCTTGATTCATCGGACAGGCGTGGTTACTTCAACTTTCAGCCATGGATGAAGAGTACACCAGCTCCGCGGAGGCCGACCGCGAGATGACCAGACTTTGGCGAACCTGGAGGACAGTGTTCGAGATGCTGGCGGATCGGGTGGGTGTCTCTGAAACTTTGTATTTGTTTGCGCTGCGTGGTGGTGCGGTTACGCTAACACGATCGTTATGCTCCGTAGGGGTACGAAGTCACAGAAGAAGAGATTCAAATTCCCCTTGATGAGTTCAGACAGAAATACGCGGACCCTGTGGGATTTCCTGAGTACGCGACTACCCTGGACTTCTTTGGCGTCATTATTCAACCCATCTAACGCACTTTTTTCAACACATACAGTCGCACCAAGATGAAAATCAGCGCTCGTCCCACAGCAGCCATGCAAGCCAAATACACACCTTTGCCCACCCCAGCCAACCCGGACCCTCAACCTGACTGTGGTACTATCTACGTTGAGTTCTGTGCCGACTCCACCGGTGTCGGTACCAAGCAAGTTCGAGCCTTCAATCACTTTGTCGACGAGAACAACTTTCACACCGGAGTCTTCATCACTCAAACGCCAATCTCCCCGTCTGCTGTGCGCCTACTGAGTGGTATTCCCGGTCGTATCTGTGAGCATTTCCAGGAGCAGGATCTACTGGTCAACATCACCCGTCACGAATTGGTCCCCAAACACGTCCTGCTGAGCCCAGAGGAGAAGAAGAATCTGCTCCAGCGGTATCGATTGAAGGAGTCGCAACTTCCTCGTATCCAGGTCTCTGATCCCGTTGCGAGGTACTTGGGTTTGCGGCGGGGACAGGTCGTCAAGATCATCCGAAAGAGTGAAACCGCCGGTCGCTATGCCAGTTATCGGTGGGTAATTTAATCGCGCTGGACTGCATCAGTACACATGTCTTTTTGAGCGACACAATCGTTCGCAGAAGACCTTTTGTGCGCCTTTCACATCTTCATGAGTCGGTTGCGTAAGAGTCGACTTGAAGTCCTCCGGGGTTATATCTCTGTCTCTCCGCTCTGCTTAGAGGACCAGGGTCTACGTTTTTCAGTACAATTCGTTGCGCTCAATGAGATGCGCCCGGAAGTGATCTTGAATTGAAACTACTATTATACCCTCGGATAAGGAAGCCAACGTTGGAGAGTCTTGTTGCGTGGTAACGCCGGCAACAACTGGTTGCAGGAAGGGGATCAAGAAAGAAAGAACAAAAGCAAACATCGAAAAAGTTCGTCCACTTGTACGTATTACGGGCAGCATGGCGCATGGGCGAAAGAGAGACTTCAATTTTGGTCGGGAACGTTTCGTCACCAAGCTTTCTTCATTTCTTTGTGATCTTATGTATGTATGCGAGTCCGACGTTTCCTATTAGATAACCACTTCAGGTATAGAATCAGTCGGAAATCATACAAAGACTTGGATAAGTGGTTGGTATTCAAATTCATGGCTTTGTCCCTACCCTTGGTTCCAGGAGGCTTCATGGTCAATTGGTGCTTTTAATGCCTCAGGCCGCAAGGGCCCCACGGATAGCATAGCCGCCAGCGCTGGACAGGCCGAGAACGCTGCCGAGAGTACGTCAGATCGTTGAGTGTGCCGCCCCCGTGATTTAGGTTGAGTCTGCTAGAAATAATCATCGTTGCTTGTGATCCTCGGCCATATGTACCGTCTTCTTGTTGTTGCGCAAATTCTTCAATGAGACTCTCGATTCTAGTCTGATCTTTATTATCAAAAATGTTGGTCTGAGATTTCGATTTTAATTTCTGTTTGTTTTTTGACACCATTGCTGCCACTGCTATACTATACACGTTTCTCTTCATTCTCCTTCATTGGAATCGTGATGATGCAAGAAGTGACCGTAAGTAAGAGCTTCTCACGTTTATCACTTGATCTGCTCCCGGCTCAGCAAGATGCTAACCCAGTTTCCCCTTTAGACTCTTTTAGTGAAGACTCAACCGGGTTCTTACATGCGTTTACGCTCTCTTTACCCGTCAATCCCACGATGCTCCCAGGCCCGGACTTCTGTACGCTCTTTTACCAACGACTCTCGTTCGAGTTCATCAATCGATACCTTCTTGCCCTCTGGTAACCATGATTCCTTGAAAAGAAGCTCCAATCCTTCCAACCATGGACTCTGGACGCCGTCGCAATCTACAGCTTCGTTCTCTACCTCCTCTTCGCTCTCGGAGCCAGCAGATTGGGACGAGAATCCAAATCTTTCAATCTCTGCCTTTTCAGAATTACCGTCCAAAGACTTTGGCGTCAATCAGCATATGATCATTAATCAAGAATTCAAAGAGGCCCTGCGTCAGATTCTGTGGCAGTTCCGCGCTCCGATCCGATATGCTTTCGCCTACGGTTCCGGCGTCTTCCCTCAGTCCGGCAGTGCAGACGGGTCCAGTCAATGCCACCCATCGGCCCCGGCTGCGATTCAGAAAATGCAGCAAGGCAAGGGCAAGATGATTGATTTTATCTTTGGAGTATCATATTCGCAGCATTGGCACGCACTGAACCTGAGTCAACACCGTGACCATTACTCCGCCTTGGGGTCTACTGGGTCTTACCTAGTTTCCCAGGTACAGGACAGATTTGGAGCAGGTGTATACTTCAATCCTTACGTGACTGTTAATGGCACGTTGATCAAATACGGAGTCGTGAACCTCGATACCCTGTGCAGGGATCTCAGTCAATGGGACACATTGTATCTCGCCGGACGGTTACAGAAACCAGTGAAGATCCTGCGCGACCACCCCAAAGTGCGCTTAGCCAACCAGATTAACCTCCTGTCTGCGGTCCGGGTAGCGCTGCTGCTATTGCCAGCCGAGTTCAGCGAATTTGAGCTGTACACCACTATCGCAGGAATCAGCTATATGGGAGACCTCCGTATGTCTCTACCAGCGGAGGACCCCCGGAAAGTGCGGAATATCGTCTCGGGCCAAATGGCGCACTTCCGGCGGCTATATGCACCTCTCATTGAGAATCTTCCCAACGTCACGTTCAACGACAGACGCTGCACGGAGGAAGATTGGATCGACGACCCCAATGCGAACGTGCGTCTTACACAGGATATGGACCCGGTGAAACGAGGCAATATGGTACGGCGGTTACCCGAATCATTCAAGCAGAAGTTGTACTTTCAGTATCAATCTCGATTCGAAATTCCCCGAGTCGAGTTCAACAAAATGATGAAGGAGAGCAGCGACAGCGACTCCGGAGTAGTGCGACGGAGGCAGGGCGGTCCATTCGAGCAACGAATCGCAGCTGATGAGAACCTTAAGAAGGAAGTACAGGCGTCAATAATGAAGACGATTCGTTGGCCAAGTACCGTTCAGACCATCAAGGGTTTGTTTACTTCAGGGATCGGCAGAACCTGGCGCTACTTGAGCGAAAAGCAAAGCAAGTACAGAACCTCGGGCCGGAAAGCTAGTGCTTCAGCCGAAGAGACTCCTTCTTCAAAGCAAGAATAGACGGTTCTTGATACGAGCAATTCATCTTGGGGTGTCATCAATACACGGGCGGTAAGGATTGGCGATTCTTGGAATCCTAAGGCATATCGAGGCGTTCTTCGATTTTTCTTCAAGAAGTACATATGTAACTACTATACTCGGTCACCAGCTACATCCGCGTCATTGACATACTATAAACAAAGTGGCATAGAATAGAATACAGCTGTGGGCCGGATTGAGTCATCATTCAGTGCAAGTAGTCGAGTCAGACTTCCGACACCGGATTCCGGAGTTATCATCTTCTGTCTCCCCGCTATCACCCCCACCACTTTTTGAACTCCAAGAAATTCCTTGTTAGATCATCATCCAAACCAACACAATGGCTCCAAGATCGTCGCCATTTGACCTTTCAAAGTGCGCGCGTCCGAACATCTTAAGGCTGCAGCCTTATCGATGCGCAAGAGAGTGTGTTTCCCCAGAATCATCCCTTGCAAAAGTCCGTCGCGAGTGCTAATGAGTCAGTGACTACAAAGATGACGGGACGAACATCTTGCTCGATGCGAACGAGAACGCCTACGGTCCAGGACTTGCGCTCAATTCCGAAGGCACACTCAAGGAATCCACAGTCAATGGGGGTGCGTCGGGGTCCTCGAAGCCTGAGATTGATTTCTTGGGCTTGAACAGATACCCAGACCCGTAAGCTCAGCCATTTCCGCGGTCGCATGCAAAAGCGAACCATATGTACTGACATATGGCTTGGTTGCAGACATCAGATCGAACTGAAGAAGTTGTTTTGCAAGTTTCGCAACACCCACGTTCACACACAGAAGGACCTAGGGCCGGAGAACATGTTCGTGGGTGTTGGGTCCGACGAGGCCATTGACGCCCTTTTGAGATGTTTCTGTGTTCCCGGAAAGGACAAGATTCTTACCTGCCCTCCTACGTATGGCATGTATGCGGTCAGCGCGGAAGTCAACGATGTCGAGATTGTGAAAGTGCCCCTGGATGTCAACAATGGCTTCCAACTGCAGCCGGACAAGATCAACGAGACATTGTCTGCGGATCCGGCGATCAAAATGGCGTACATCTGCTCGCCTGGTAACCCCACCGCGAATTTGATCAAGAAGGAAGACATTCAGAAGGTGCTGGAGCACCCCACATGGAATGGGGTGGTCATTGTGGACGAGGCATATATTGACTTTGCGCCCGAGGGCTCCAGTCTTGCCGAATGGGTGACCGAATGGCCCAACCTGGTCGTGATGCAAACTTTGAGCAAGGCCTTTGGACTAGCAGGCATCCGACTTGGCGTTGCATTTACAAGCCCGGAAATTGCCCGGCTCCTGAACAGCCTCAAAGCCCCCTACAACATCTCAAGCCCGACGAGTGCGATCGCGACCGCCGCCCTGTCGCCTCAGAACATGGCCGTCATGCGCAAGTACCGCGAACAGATCATCGCTCAGCGCGAGCGAATGTTACAAGAGCTCCCCAAGATCCCAGGTGTGGGTCGTTTCCTCGGTGGGCAGGAATCCAACTTCCTTCTCGTAGAAATGCTCGACAAGCCTGCCAATGAGGGCGGAAAGCCCAGTAACGCTGTGGCCTTGGCGGCGTACGAGGCTATGGCTGAGAAGCGGGGTGTCGTCGTCCGGTTTCGGGGCAAAGAACTTGGATGTGAGGGCTGTCTGCGAATTACTGTAGGAACAGAGCAAGAGGTCACTCGGTTCCTACGAGAACTGAGGGCCGTGCTGGATGGTCTCCTGAAAGGGGTGGAAATCAAACCGGTCAGGGACGAGATGAACAAGGAGAACCAAGCCAGTCAGGTTGTTGCCTGATTGTTCTGGGTAAAGCAATTTTAATACGATATTTTTCGGGTTACTAGATATAGATTACGAGCTTAATATAAAAGCTATCTGGCACGAATCTGCTCTGAACTCAATAATCCCAAATCAGAGGGAAGACCTGAAAGGTTGTATAATATAGTCGGCCACTCCGTACGACATTGCATCTTTTATCTCCAAAGCATGGACAGTGTAACCAAGTAGATAAAGTAAATTGTAAAAACACGGCCGATCCCTGCCTGCCCTGTCTGTCTGTCTGTGCATTTGGCGCAGCACAAGCATGGATCGGGAATATTAATCTGGGGCGTGAAACGGTTGATTTTCTCCCCTGTCCCATCCTGGTCAAAGTTTCTTGTGCGTCTACCGTATCCCCCCTTCCTCTTGTCCGACTTATGTACAGTTCAGACTGTAGAGTAACATCCGCCCGGTCAGCTGCATTCCACGTGGGGAGGGGCAAGATGGTGGCACCCAAGCCAGGGACTGCAAAGGAAAGCTTTGAGACGATGTCAGTTGAGTTTATAATGGATGGTATAAGTTACATTTATTGATGGAAGCAGTGAATCTCCATTTCGAGGAGACATTACACTTAAAACACATGTTCAAATGGAGCTAAGAGAGTTAGTGGTATCGTTAGAGTCCAAATCATAGTAGGGTGTACTATGGCGTCGGGTAACATCCCCTCGAAAGCAGGCTTAGTCTACACAGCAGTAGATAATTAGTCTAGGCCAAATTGGCTTGATTAACCTGCAATCAACCCGAGAAATAATAATAGCCTCGTTATGATCAACCTAGGCATCGTGCGGTGTTTATTGTCATGTGTTTGCTTGTAGATAATTGGCACAACTAAACCATCCCTCAGCCTCTTATCGCGGACGAGTCCCTAGCCATCCCATTGCGGATGGACCATGGATCAAGTGTCTCTCCAACGCAAGTAGAGAGAAGAAACCAGGACTATCTAGCAGAAGCATACATAGGGAGCCAGTCACATCATGATCCAATGTCGAGTTTCCATCTCATCGTCGGTCGGTGGTTGGGCGGTTCGGTTCCAGCGCCATCGCCTGCGTGCCATCGTCTATTCGTCTCGACCGCGCCCATCTTGGCCTGTACACTGTTAGCCTTGAACTTATCTCCCATCTCCACAAGTTTATCTAAGCGAGTTCCCTGTCTTTCCCGTATCTCCCTCTGTCCCTCTCAACGCCCAGCATCCAATCCCAGTCACCGGCTCTCAATTACCCGTCTCATATCAGGAGGCTATCACACGAGCTTCTTAGCTAATGACCAGTGACCACTCAGCAGGGGCCAAGTCTTCCCCTCCCCATCCCCAGTGTTATCTTCGGGTCTTGGTTATCTCTGGCCCTCAGAGGTAGATAGTATTTGCTAACTGGATCGAGTCTGGGTTCTCTCAATTTCCGTTGAGTGGTTTTCTCGCTCATCGCGCTACTTTACCTTGAGATCCTTCCAGCTACCCTCAGGGCGAGGGATTCGTGGCGTGGCTTATTTAATATTCATTCTCGACTCTTTGTCGGATTGGTAGCTTTCCAAGCTCTCTTCCTTGCGACCTAGGTAGGTACCTAGTTATATATCAACGGGATCGACGCTTTGAAAACGGCGGTGAATCCGATGCTTCCTCTCGAGCTCTCTCGTCATCTTTGTTCCCTTTTGTTCTCTTCTTGTATCAACAATAGCTGGGGACCATTGTACGCTACAACTACTATATCATATTGATTGCTCCAAGGACCCTTGATTCTGGGATACCTTTCCACCGTCGTTTCATCTCCATCTATCAATCCCCACCCTTGCTCGACCCTTAGGTATCATCGCGTGCAATTCTCTGTCGTCTCCCCTCCGATCTCTTAGTTTGCCTCCCCCACACTGTTTCCCCGGAGTTAGCGCACGTGCGCATTATTGACTGTGGTTCCTCGATGGTACTCAAACTGAACGATGTAAATCAATTTGAAGCTATCCGGTTCACACAGCACATTCTCCGGACATCTTAGCATCGATTGAACCCCATAAGAAACACCTTTGCCGTCTGTTAATCCCTGGCCCCTCTTCGGAGGTGGCTCAGCGGCCATGGATTCATACCAATCGATGCTGAACACACGAGGAATCTATTCAGAGACACCCCCAGACATTCGGACACGGTTGGATGATCACCCTACACTCCTGGTGAGCTGGTGGGCGACCGGATTTTCCCTGGCTTTCATTATAACCCGTGTCTGTGGTCGCTATATACGGACTGAGCGGTTCTTCCCAGAGGACAAGATGATGATGGCCAGCGTGATTCCGCTGTTGATACGGATGGCACTGGTGCATGTGGTACTGCTCTATGGCACGAACAATACCAAGACGGCTGGCCTGACTGAGGAGGAAATACGCCAGAGAGAAATTGGCAGCAGGCTGGTCCTTGCCGCCCGAATATTCTATGCGATTTTGTAATACGCCTTGCCCCCGAATTCTGATTCCGTTCTTGTCCTTGCCGGTATACTGATGATTTACTTCTGCGAACAGCATTTGGATTGCCAAATTCACCGTGTGCGAATTTCTGAAACGAGTTGCAGGGATGATCTGGCAGCGGTCGCTCCGAATATTTATCAAGATCATCTACTATTTCCTGGCATCGACGTTAATCGCAGTGCTGATTGCGACTCTCGTTGAATGTCAGCCTTTCGACCACTACTGGCAGGTTGTTCCGGATCCAGGGCCGCAATGTCGCTTGGGCTATGCCAACCTGATCACGATGGGGGCATGCGACATCGTCACCGACCTGCTTCTAGTCGCCTATCCCATTCCGATTGTCTTAATGACGCATATGCCCATGAAGCGCAAGGTGATCCTCGCAGTGCTCTTCGCCTTGTCTCTGATATTGGTTGGGATCACCTGCTATCGCGTTCCATCGGTGATTTGGCATCACGGGTCACAGCAATACCGATCGCTTCTCGCGTCGCTAGAGATCCTAGCCGCGACCGCTGTCTCCAATGCGGTCGTCATCGGCTCATTCGTCAGAGATAAGGGCGTCAAGAAGGCGAAGTTCAAAAAGGCTGTTGGCTCGGCCTCGGTCAGCGAGAGTATGGATCACAGCTCGACGCGCCGTGCCACCATTACCTACCACCAATGGGGGAGCGACTCGGATCTTGCGGGAGATCTGGGTATCCGACTAACTGCTGACCTTCACTCCTCAGACAACAAAGTTCCACGTCCAGCTCCAGTGGCCGTGCCATACCATCCCATCACAGCGCAAATGGGGACGCTGACCCCAAATTGGTCGTTTGGCAACCAGCGTCACTCGATGGGAACAGATGACGACATAACGTCTACCACCGGTAGCTTAGAGCTGAAGGTCAGCCCTCTTGAGTACATTGAGACCAACAAGACCCATCACAAAAAGTCCAACGATGTCGCCCTCTCCTCCCCTAGCAAAGTCTCCATCTTCGATGTCGGCGGGCTACTGGACGACTCCCCAACGCCTGGGTCTCTCAACTCTTCTGCCGAGTCGACACGTCATCGCGAGCTGAGCGGCTCACAACAATATCGCAATGGTAGCAGAGCTTTCCTGCAGGACGTCGGGGGCTTACTCCCACCGAACACGAGAAATGGCCGCCGACGGGGCTCGAGTGTCCACTTTAGCGACACAGCAGATCCCCCCGTGCCTCCGTATCACTCCCAGCAGGATACACACGCGCCCATTCTGGAGAGGTCCGATGAAGTGGAGCTTCAGGATGTCGGCGGGCTTCTCGCGAGAGACACTTGAGTCTTCTGACATGTGAATACGACCGAATCTACTGTATGATAGCGTCATGACCTACGTTCTGTTTTGTTTATTTCTCTTGGGCTTTCAACTGGATTCGTGGTTATGGATCTAGGGATTTTGCCTCATTTTTGTGCTTTAGCGACGGCGTTGGTGTACTACAGTGCTCCGGCACTGGTTACATATTCCATTTGGATTGTTCGAAACTTGGATGAGGTCTGGACCTCTATATTACTCCCAGTTAGGAGGATATTTATTGAGCATACTAGGAGTCGATATGGGGCAACCAGGATATTCGGGATATTCATAATCTGCCGGAGATGGGTCGGCTTATCAGAGACATATATATATCACCCATTATCTCACCAAGAAATAGGAGCTAACCATGAGCACATAACACATAAAATCTGTTCTTCGTAACAACGTTTAAAAAATTTATAGCTTTGAAGTGGCAAGGACCACCAAGATCAGCCTTACATTTATTCACTGAATGAGAATTAAGTGACTCAAATAGATACCTTAGCTGGTACCAATGATGCACTCACCATCACTCCCACTTCACTCGTCCGGTAAACTGGTATGAAGTGTCCTGCCTATCATGCTCCAGAGAAATTTAACCTATAGCTGCTTTTATGTCTATATACCGATATCTGGCTATCGGGTACATGTGGTTACATCAGGCCGATTACCCTAGTAGCCATAACGAAAGCGACAAGCCCAAGCTAAGCTTTCGTACTTTGTCTGCTCGGGCTGTCAAGTAGTATCTGCGTAGAAAATCAGAAACTACGCTCATTGCCTCGTCGTCACCAGAGCGGTATTTCGAGACATGCAATATGCTGTCTTGGATAGCTTCATCGATGCTGGATCCGGCAATTCACGGCATATTCGCTATTGCGGCTTTTCACCTGTATATGAAAATGCTATTTATTTACAGTCTCCATGTTCTCTACCTAGATAGCAGGCTTGAAGGGCATGTATGCCCTTGTCGTCCGAGTGAAACGAGACTCGATCGAACAATCTACGAAATAGTTTCAATTCCACTCGCACATATGCTCTTTCTGTATTATTATCTTTTTTGTATCCCACAGGCTTTGCCGTTGCCAGACGGCTCGTACTGTTAGCAAATCCGACCAAACACACCTACCTGATTACGATGTTGACTTGAGGCAGCTGCAGAGGCTTACCAGGAAGACTGGCATTCACTGCACACGTGTGTAGTAGCCTAGTCGATAGAGAAATTTTTCAACACATTTAACGAAAACATCAGCTCATCAGACTCAAAAACGCACGTCGCCAGCTTTCTCACATAGGCTCTGATTTCATCTGCATAATGACACCTCACCAGCAAAGTGAGAGTAGTGCAGCTCTGATTTCGAGCCTTAGCCCGGTGGCTAGTGCAGCTCTTCAGGTCTTCCAGAGAGAACATACAGATGAATTTCGACACCACAACTCTCTTCTGCTCCGACTCATACCCTTTCTCACGGATGAGTTCGACATCGACATCGACCCCGACTCCCTACCTGACTGTGAAGAAAATGAAAGCGTGAATGAGGAGACTGTCCGCCATTCAATAGTGGTCAGGCTGTTAAACGAGTTCTGGGATGTGCACTGCGACATTGATCCTAATGCAGAGAAAGTCAGTGACATTGTGGACTACCAGTTTCTCGTGAAGCTCTTCTACTGGCATCTGAACAGGCAAACGAGACGGCCGTCAAACCTTACCAGACCGGACGGTGTTGAGACCCGTACAGAAAGAGCTGAACAACGCCGCAGACTATTCGATATGAACCTCCGCTCCCTGTTAGAAATCCAGCGAGAAACAATACAGCAGCAAACTTCAAAGGAGAATCACAACACCAAGACCAAACGTGGCAGTCTGGTAAAGAAATTGGCGGGCGTAAGAAATGGAGACTTACCCGATGTAGACCAAGACGAACCAGCGAACCAACCGCTGTGTCCAGAATCCGAGAGCATGCAAAATAATATAGAGACAGTGGTCTCGGAACCCATGGGCATCTCCATAGTCCTCGGCAATCTTGGGTTCATTGACCGACTGAGCATCTTGGACACGATCATAGACAAGGTCATGAGCAAATACGAAGGCCGCTATGGTATGTTCTTGAAGTCTGATTCCGGAAGGAACATAAAGGCTGTCCTCGAGGGAAACCTCAATCAGAAAGTCAAATCACTCTGCGAGACTGGGACGTTTGAGTTGGACAGGTCGGTGCCCTGCCCTCGTCGTTGAGTAATACTGAGCAGAACTTTCCCAGGTTGCTCCAAATTGGCAATATGGGAGAGCAGCCAGATGAGTCAGGCGTTTATATGCACATTCTTTACAGAAGAAGCAATCCAGGGCGTTTCTGGCTGTACGTGGGACAGGCATTCAAACTGCACGCGAGGATCTCCAGTCACAACGATCCTGCGCATAGAAGGGCTCAGCCCAGTTTGCACTACCACGTCTGGGATTCTGCCGAAGACATAGTGTCCGAATTTGTCACGCTTGCAGTGCACGAGATTACCTCGTCCAGAGATGACCAATTCATCCTCAACTTCCAGGAAATGTGGATGGCTTGCGTATTTCAAACAATGACAGCGAAACACTTGGAAGAATACCTTCCCGAAAGTGTCAACAGGGCATGGTCTGGCCGGCATCTGAATGTCGCGCCTCCAATATGGCAAGGATTTACAGGAGATTTGGTTGCCTGGAAAGAAGCCATTGGAGGAACAGAGGCTTTCAACGATTTTCTCAACTCGCCAGATTCCGCCATCAGAGGCTGGGCGTGGGATCTTCGACATGCCTTTAATGATCTCCGAAACTCGCCAGATCCGATCCATCGAGCCTACTACTTTGATGTCATGCTTCGAAACCGCAAATTGGCAGAAGAGGTCGGCGAGAGGAGAAAAATAGAGAACTTGCAGCGAATATTGTCTCAAGGAATGACGAGAATCATCTTTGGTGGAGACGATACGCAGAAGGCTCATCTCATCAGCTGCAGTGGCTTTGCATTTACTATCTCCAGACAATTGCGGTTGGGAGTGCGAGTCGGGGACCTAGTGAGGCTGCGGTTCCATCTCACAGCAACACCAAATCCCCAGAAGTACGCAACCAAAGCTTCACAGACTGACCCGGCCAGCAGATTGGCAGTGTCGATTGAGGGACGAGGAACTCACAGTGATTACCATGTCTGGCTCAGAAACCCCGGTGACAAAGTCGTCAGTAGGATGAATGCATTGGTCGATGCTTTGGAAGGAGTGCCTCTGACAGAATCCAAAGAAATGGCTCGACGGTGGTATGTAACAAGACGACAGGGGACATCCAAGAAGGACGTTATATACACAGTCGGAGACGATGAATCGTAGGACTTATCTGATTTGGACTCCCAGCCCTAAAAGTAGTCAAAGGGTGATCTTGATATCGGGGTACTTGCTATTACATGGTTTCTTGGGTTATGGTCCAGATTAAGGGCCATAGGAGCAACCTACCAACCCCCGATGGTCTAGTTGGATATGGCGGTCGGCTGTAATGGAAATTGTAACCGACAGGTCGCCGGCTCGATTCCGGCTCGGGGGAGTAAAGGTTAATCTTTTTTTCCCCCCTTTGTCATCGATTCCATTTCTCTTTTATCTTTTTTCTAGCCTCTCATCCTCGCTACACAATGGCTTCTTCCATCCAGCTGGCCATGTATCAAGACCGTCATGAGAAGAGAGCAGGCCCATTGAGGGAATTCTATCAAAAACATGCTTGCAGATTCTCAGATTTGTGCGAAATGCTACCCTGAAATCGACAACTGTCCTGATGTGTAGGGCTCAATCTACAGAAATCTCCTTAAACCGAAGAACTGCTTGCCCACTACCTCTACAGACTACGATCATCTTGCTCTTTCCCGTCCTTCACATTTGAAGAGCTCAATCAAGCCAGCTCGAGAAGAATGTTCCATCTACTACCGGAACGGGCTCAAACCCTGAACTCGGCCACACACTCCAAACACAGTCCCTCTCAAATCAGACTTAGTAAATACCAACCACACTCATTCATCATCCTTCAACCCCCGATGGTCTAGTTGGATATGGCGGTCGGCTGTAATAGAATAATTGTAACCGACAGGTCGCCGGCTCGATTCCGGCTCGGGGGATCAGGATATCTTTTTGACTGTTTAATTTTCGGATAGTTACTTCTGCGTTTTGGTAAGAGGCCAAGCTACGGAGTACTCGAGGCTAAATAAGGTACTCCGTAGTTCCTCGTTATGCACGTAGCTAGCTGTAGTAGCCAATGTGGTGGGGTTGTGGTAGAGCTAACTGTTTTGTTCAGAAGGTCAAGGCTCTTTGGCTGGTGGAAGTTGGAACACGTGCATAGTTGCTACCTTTATCTTTCCTGGCTGTTTAAGCTACTGGCATCGGTAGACTGATGTCAGGGCCCGGTTGCTCTACCCTAGTGGAAGTTGAAGCGTCCGCTCAGCGATACGTTCGTAGCTGTCTGGTAGTTGAGCCTAGGTAGGTTTATGAGAGCAAAATAAGTCACTGTTAGCATCTCCAAAAACCCCCGATGGTCTAGTTGGATATGGCGGTCGGCTGTAATGGATAATTGTAACCGACAGGTCGCCGGCTCGATTCCGGCTCGGGGGATTATGAGATATCTTTTTTGCCCTTTGCAAATATCCTATGTCGACAGAGGGAAGTATCAATCGGTTCGATGCTCTTCTAAATTCTTGTCCATCCAGCTGTGGCGAGTTGCTTTTCATCTGGGGCGAGGTACCTATGGTCGACGGCGTAATTTTTGCGGTCCATAGACGTGCCATTAGTGTTCTCGGTACTCCCCGTCCTAGCTTCATTCCGATTTATCTATCCAGCTTGCGCCGACCAATCCTAGAAATGAAGAATAGAACAAGCCAATTACGGGGATTAAGTAGCTATAAACGGTGCTGGTCCTGCTGGACGAGTTTGATGCCTCTGACACGTGGGGACGCAAGGGGCCAGACAATCCGATACAAGACACCATAGTATCATCACTGATTTGCACCTTCCTTGCATATCATTCAACCGTTGCAGCGGAACGAAGCTATTCTCAGAGAACTAAAAACATCGAGGTACTCAATTGAAGAATGGCTAAGCAGGTGAAAAGGAAAACAAGTAGCAAAAAAGAATGTCTCTAACTCCCCCGAGCCGGAATCGAGCCGGCGACCTGTCGGTTACAATTTCCATTACAGCCGACCGCCATATCCAACTAGACCATCGGGGGTTTAGGAGACATCCGCCTCGGGAAACTTTGAACTCATCAAAGTTAGACGCTTGAGTTGAACCAACTCAGTCTAGCAGCACGCACCTGTCGGAGATTGAGCTCTTGTACTCGGTAATATCTTTTTGTTGGAACATTGCAAGTCATTTTTGTATCTACTAGCCAGGTCAAATAGCCAATTATTGGTCTGTATGGCTGCGCATCTCCAGATTAAACATCATTAGAGCAATAAGAATCTTCCACCTCTATGCTGAGTCGTTGGCAAGCAGGCACTAATCCACAGCAACACTTTCGACATCTTTGCACTTTTCACATATCGTCGAGCAGCTGGCAATGATAACTGCTTCATGGTACTTGATAGAGTATAAACAAACACACAGTAATATAATTTGATTGATTTTATTGGATGAATGCATCAAAGCAAAGAGAAAAACAAAGACAAAAAAGATAACGTCCCCCGAGCCGGAATCGAGCCGGCGACCTGTCGGTTACAATTATCCATTACAGCCGACCGCCATATCCAACTAGACCATCGGGGGTTTCGTTAGTGCTTTTGCCACTAAAAAAAGAATAACCATGTTATAATACATGTCACCAACCACCAAGAAACTACTCCTCAGCAGGCAGTTGGCCAGTCCCTTGCTGCAACTGTCGTCTTTGACGTTCACAATCCACCTATGCGATGTAACTTTCTACGAGGAATCCATTATCATGCAGGATATGGCTATTTCCATATATGCAATGCAGGAAACAGGACATTATTATTGTGCTGACAGTAACAGACTGATCACGTGTGATCGTGTCAATACGGGGTAGCGCGTCCTTTAACCCAAACAAGCCTGTAAACAGAGCCCAGTCCCTTGACAACCACCACTTGCGACCGACAACAACAAATCGACCGACTTGAATAACTCATGTGCCATATAGCTTCAAGTTGACGGTGGCGTTCTTTTTAATGCGATCTCCTTTTTGGTATAATGATTCAGGAAATGGAGACTTTCGCCGCCCGTCTCGCCAGCTTTGATCTGGTTCTCCATCCCGAACGACGACGGACATCGAGTGCAAAGTCCGTCAAGCCGATATCTTGGCCTCATAGCAGGCCTTCGCCTGCAGAGGTATATCACTCTTTAATATTTGTATATCTGTTGATGCAATGGCTGACTCGTAGCTAAAGCTAGCGCATGCAGGATTCTACTACAACCCCTACGAGACCAACCCTGATAATACGACATGCTACTTATGCCACCGCGCGCTCGACGGGTGGGAATCGGAGGATAACCCGATTACTGAGCATCTTAAACACTCAAAGGATTGCGGATGGGCTATTATGATGGACATCGAACAACACAGCTCAAATCCCGCTGAGATTGAAGATCCAACAAGCGACAGGATAGCGCAGGCAAGACAAGCCACTTTTGGCGATCAATGGCCACACGATGGCAAGCGGGGCTGGGTTTGCCAATCTGAAAAGGTAGTGTTTGACGTGTTCTCAAAAGCGCAATCTATCTGCCACTTGAATTGCAACCTAATATTTGTCCATGGCAGATGGTGGAAGGTGGATGGTACTTTTGCCCGACTGAGGAGAGCAATGATCTAGCCAGTTGTGCTTACTGTAAACTGTCTCTCGACGGATGGGAACCCAAAGATGACCCTTTGTCAGTGCCTCATCGCTCCTTCCCGCTTGATATTCACTGACTTGCCTAGTGAGGAGCACTATCGACGATCAGCCGATTGTTCGTTCTTTGTCTTTGCACAGCCTTCTGGCAAGAAGTCCAAATCTTCTCGATCAAAAAAGTCGCGCGTTTCAAAAGGGTCATCTCGTCTCTCGACCCAGTCTACAGTATCGGAAGCGCCCATGAGCGGGCTTGACAACCAAATGGATGAAGATGATATTCCTCAGCCGCCAACCAAAACGAAAGCCTCAAAGAAGTCGTCGAAATCCAAATCGAAGACCTCAAAATCTAAGAAGGATGATACCTTGGAGTTCGATAACCAGATGGACCTAGACACTGTGGAATATGCCCAACCTGAACCTGCCAAGCCCAAGCGGACCAGAGGCAAGAAAAGGTCCAGTGATGAAATGGACCCAGAAGAGTCTAGCATAGCTATTGCCGAGGAGATTCATCAATCCGAACCTCCAACCAAGAAGAGAGCGACAAAGTCGCGCAACAGTGCTACTCAGCGAGAAGACAGCACTCGCAGTGACGTTGCTGTCGCAGATATGCATGAGCCGGACGACGAGGCCTTGCTCGAAGCTGAAGCTAAGAAGGGGCGTGCGGCCACCAAGAAGAAGACATCATCCAGAGGTCGGAAGGTTTCAGAAGATTCAATGGTAGAGAAGGCAGCTCCGCAAGCTCGCTTACCGCGAGATTCCGAGATTGATGCAGCAATTGAGGCCGAGCTTGAAGTCGGCGAGCCTCCGGCGGAAACACACAAGTCTTCGAAGAAATCGAAGTCCAAAAAGAAAACAAAGAAGGCGGCAGAAGAGCCACCCAAGGTGCAGCATGGTACGGTCGAGCGAAGCGAAGAGCAAGAGTTGCGTCAAGTCGACGACGATGAATTTATTTACAGGCGGACAAGTGACGTTCAGATGCCAGCCGAGCAGCCGAAGCCAGCTAAATTCACTACTAAGCAGAGAACCTCAAAAGAAGCAAGGTTTTTAGAAAAGAAAACATCCGAGTCAACCAAGAGTCGCCCAGCAACAAAAGTTGATGCTGCAGATGTCGACGCCGAAGCTGATCGCAGGCACCAGGGGTCTTTTGTATCAGTGGAGGTAACAGCAAGGAGCCCAGAGCAAGACTTCGAACCCGAAAGGAGAGATAGTGACTCTCAAACGAAGAAGGCGACTAAAAAGTCCTCGACCAGCAAAGCTAAGAAAACTAGTCACACAAGGGCCGTATCTCCAGAGTCTCTGGAGCCTTCAGAGGCTGCAACTCCTGCTTCCGAAAGGCCTGAAACAAGGCATAGCTCGAAGCCGGAGGCACCTGTGCAATTTGAACAAAGAAAATTTTCTCGCCACAGTCAAGACGACGTACAAGAGCTAGAGCTGGAGCCAGAATCGGAGCCAGAGCTAGAGAAGGACCCCGAAGACGACATAGAGCAAGACACGGAGGTAGATCCGGAGCCGGAGCCGAAGCCGCAGCTGGAGGTCAACGAAACGCCTGTCCGTCGCCGGTCATCCAAAGTACCCCCGAAGACGACTGAGAGATTCAGCGACATCCCCCAAGAGAAGCAATTTGCCAAGTCGATTGCGGAAACTCGAACGCCGAACTCCCATAAAGTGCCACAAGCTAGAATAACCTCTGCTCGACAGGAAAGCGATGCGGTGTCGCCTCTCCCTTCCACTTCGAAGGGTTCGCCATCTTCATCACCCCAGTCTTCCGATGCTGAGAACCAACCTCCAACCATACAAACATCGGCTCTAAGGACGCAGGTAGCGTCACCGTCTAAGGAGAAAGTGGTTCGCATTCCCTTGGCGACCAGTACGCCCTCGCCGTCCAAACGAAATGTGAACCCTGGCGCACTCAAGACTTTACACCCCTGGACACCTATTAACATAGACGAAATTCTCTACGCCTCGATGAGTGATAAAGAGAACGTGGATGTAGGGGCTGCTCTGAACAGTATCAAAGGAGATCTTACAAGTCCTGAGAAGAAGATGACTGTAGAAGAGTGGATTTTCTGGCATGCTCGGAACGGAGAGGAAAAGCTCAAGCGCGAATGTGAAAGATTGGTCAGTCAGTTCGAGAAGGAGGGGGCCAGAGCGATGCGCGCACTGGAAGGGATCGAGTGCATTGATTGAGACATGGCGTTTGATTTGAACATGGCTGGTGTTATGGGGTGGGAACAATGGCTCTCTGTTTAAGCACTTATTTTGTTGAAGGTATTCCTGGACACGAT